ACGTCCCCTCGTTTTCAATTATTGTCCGACTGATAGCAGTTCATGATGAACCAAATTAATGATTCTGTTCAGTAACTTTAATGGAATTAGACGTTATTAAACGCGTTGAAGTGTGGAAATTTGATCTTTACTAAATATAGCGCTTAGACAAACGGCAATGATAGTTACATTTGTCGCAAAATTGTGAGTTCAGTCTAATTTAGGTGATGGGTAAGTAGCCAGTATCAATAAGCTGTGTCAGTAGTGTGTGTGTATTTGATGATCAAAAACATGTTTCATATATTGCTTAATCTTTCCAATCCCATACGATCGAGGATAAACATGACAAGTTTTGTTTCTTATTTGAATTTGAGTAGACTTTGTCCGATAAGCTACAAATGAGCTTTGTTTATAACGTAATCCAATAGAGTACGAGAATTATGCTCAGACGACAAAATGGAAGAGCAATTAAATGTTATTGATAGTTGTTTGATGAATAAACGTTATCCACGAAAGTTTATCAGCAAGTGTGAGAAGACAAGAACGAAGCTAGTGGAGTGTACTACGACGGGAAAAAAGTATTGCTTTCAAATTACTCAGATTCAAAAGCGACAAAATATCTTGTCAGACTGATTCTAAACTAATAAATCTATTAAAAAGGACTTATCCAGCTGCAGAACTCATCTCGATATACAAAAAGGTTGTTCGTTACGACATTCAACAGTAAAAAAATACTAGTCATACGTTATCTTTAATCATTTAAATCGATTTGTATGCACGTGTCGAAGTGCTTGCTTTGGAGGAAAAAAACACAGATTTAGCGTTCCAATATTCAAGGACTTTCCCTGGATGAGATTAAGTGATCGAAACTCCTTTAGTAGTCTGAACGCCCGTCATTTACTTGGTAGTGGACATAACGTTGTGATTTCATGACTATTTCAAACAGGTGACCTCTAACTTGATATGTTTTACCGTAGAAATTACTCTTTAAAAACATAAATCGTATTTACGCGTTCTAAAAGATACTGTTATAACTATTATACTACCCTAGTTTCTTTGTGTTCCAACGTTTGGTTGTCTACCAATTCATGTTCGTCATCAAAACTTCACTTTCTTTCTAATTCGAGTTTTATTCAAGCTTCATATATTTTAATCCTATAGCCAGTCCTATTTTTAGTTGTTCTTAAGTAATTTATAGTCTGAATTTTTTTATTAATCTGTCTCCATGTCCTTTTTAAAATTTTCTTTTAGAATCTACTTATTGCTTAATGTATAAATAAACAATCACTTATACGATTTATGCTATTATGTTTAGGTTGTAAAAAAATGAAGAGAAAACAAGAAATAAGAATAATCCATGTTATTTTACTACGTTTATTCTCCTTGGTCTCTTGTAATTCTAAGAGGTCATCAAGGAGGATCAGTCGACTGCCTAATGTTTCCTGGCCTTTGGTAGCTCTTTTATTTATACCAGTCTCCCACAAAATGTTTTCTTTTGGAAGTAAACGGAAATTTCAAAGTTCAAACCTGAAAATATTTCTTCATCTGATATCTCAAAAGACCTTCTGAAATCAAAATATTACTTTTCATCACGTACTTACCTCAGTGGAAAAAACTAAAGAAAACCAAGAAACATTTTATAGATTATTTTAGTCTAAGTATTTCATACTTTTCTTAGCCTAAATGCACATCATTTGTTAGATTCTTTTTTCCTTTTTTTATACAAAGGTGAAAATCAGGGATAGGGAAGAGAAAAATCGAATTATCAAGGGTAAACAAACAAGGATATCATTCGAAAATTTATCGTTTTTTTTTCTTCATTGCATACAAATTACCTATGACATTAATTTATTCTCAGTATAGTCTGATCTAATAAATCATGATTACAATGATATTCATAACTGTACATTAATTTCTGTTAACAGTAAAACATATATATTGTATATATTGTTCTATATAAAACCATGAAATTACCTAGTGACTATCAGAAAATGTGTTTTTGTGACTGTATTTAGTTCATTTTATTTACTGGATTTATATACATTATCATTATCATCATCATGTAAAACTTCTAATAAAATTGTAATAATGATCCAGAGATAATATTATGTTATTCTTAAATAAAACTTTTAAAATGTCTGTCTTAAGTCCAACTAACATGAAAATGTAAGTTTGTTAGGGACATTTAGATTTATTTGTTGTCAGCTGATTTATCTTCTTTCTTTTTCTGCTTCTTAACATGAATTGAATTCTATCAATCAAAATGGCACAGTATGATCATTAAATTGAATAATTTGACAGTGTATTACATTTTGTTTTAGTGCTGAGTATTTTCTTTTTTAAAAAAAAAAACAAGTTTGTTACCTTTTAGTATGTTTCAGTTAGTTTTGAAAACTACACTATCTAATAACGAACTAATGGTAATAATAGTAGCTTTATTCAATACTGTAAATTTTTGTTACAGTACAGGATTTTCAGAGATATTTTATAAATATCTTTAGTAACCAATATATCTGAAAACCGTTATTAATCAAGAAAATTTTCAACTTGTTCATCTGCTACAACTACTTTTCCTGTTAAGCATATACAAAATACATAGATACCGATATATCTGATTCTTGATTTTTGCTGTTTACATGGGAAATATGTCAACAACTGTAATGTTTCTGTTAAGGTTTTCCAGTAATTACCATAGTATTAACTTGTAAAGCATATATGAATCAAATTAAATATTTCTAATTGATTCTAATCAAACAGTACAAGCAAATCTAAAACAGGATGGTTAATTTTAATGCCTACACAAGTGGCACAAACGTTCAAACACGCCACCTTGTGATTGGTGAGCTACTAGTGCATTTAATTCTTTGGTAAGGTTTTGAATAGACTGATTTTTATGGATGAATCTTGCGAAGGTAACATAAACATCTCGCTGAAAAATAAAAACCAATAAGAATTCCAAAATAAAAACTTTAAACCGATTTACACTAAACATTCAGTAAAATGAATGATATGATATACGAACGCACATGGTTACTGATAGGCTTATTATATTGTATTCAACCTTTATTTCATCAATGATCTAACAAACCATGTAATATTTATTACTTATTTTGTATACAAATGAACACTTTAACTCCCTAATTTAATCGGCCAGTAAATGATTTCTTATCATTGAAAGTCTATCTCGTTGAAACTTGTCAATCAATCGTTTTAGGAAGCTAATGGATTAAATCACTTCAATAATTTTAGTATTTTATCAAAACAAATTGTGATAAAATATAAATATAAGACCAATTATCAGAAGAAACAGTATTTCTTACCTCCACATTTGTTTTGGTTTTAGCTTTTACTTTTAAATGTTCATCAGTAGATGATAGATCCTATATTTAGTTATGTATATTGATGCCAATATGTATTTATAAACTGACTCAAATTAGTGTAGAGCAACTATTCAGTTATTCTTACATTTTAATGGTGTTACTAAGTGATAATAATTCATTTTGTTTCCTTATTATGTTAGTTAAATAATCAAAATAGTCTGAAACAGCTTAGGTTACAGTTCATCGGTTTCATAGTAGATAAATGTTGTTATTCAGTCTGTCAAACCATGCAATCTACAACTTAGTTCTAGGTTGGATTTCAATAAAATAATATTTAAACGTTATGTAGAGTTTGTATTTGTGTTGTATAAAGCTCATTTTACTAGTTAATATTTTATTTTGAAAATATCGGATATCTAAACAGGAAATCAATAGAGATAACAACCGGTCATTATATTTGGAAGATTACACGACCTAAATTTTTCTTAGTATTTTTTATTTACCAACAATCACGTTCATAAATTCCAGATCTAATTAGTTGTACATCAGAAGTAATAAACTAAATGAAGAAGTTATATCTAAGCCAGTGAGTGGTTTTCACAATATCACAAACGAATCTGTATTATTTTCCAGATGTAGATCAACATTCAATCTATGATTCCCTTAGCGATTGTATTATTACACTATCAATGTCGAGATGATAATTGAAATCTGTTGATATGTAAAATGTTAGGAATGAAAAATAAAAAATCTGCTTAGTTGGTCTGTATTGTTTCCATTTCGATTATCTGTGTGATATTCATACGTACGCAACATCGTACAAAGTGGTCATTACAACACAACAACTGATATGCAAAACGGATCTTTCCTATATTATAAAACACCGGTAAACAATAATCTAATCTTTTAAAGTAATTTTGCCCTGCATTTTTTAATTATTTACTCATTTCAAAATTCAATCATTCAACGTCTCTGTTGAGTTAATTTTTTGGTGCTACCTAATGCTAGTCGTTTTGTCTATTCGGATGCTTGACCAAGTTATAGGTGACCAAAATTAGAAATATATAGGGAAGTAACCTTAAAGTGAAATGAAGGTTCAAGGTCCAGCTGTTACGATTCTATACTACTAAGATAGTATCACTTTACTTGGTATGCATATTGAACTGAAAACATTGTTATCTTGTTATGTACTCAGCCTTCGTCAAACGTATTTTTAATTTATGTATGCCAAAATTATCCTTTCATTCATGGGTGTTTTTTCATCGGCTTGATCTTCTAAACTTCGAAAAACTCATCAAGTTAGACCACTACTGAAAACCGGAAAGCACTAGATGGCCGTTTTGTCCTTGTATAGATCTTCTCATGAGTGCGCATCCACGACTCCCAAGGTAGAAATCGAACCCCGGACCTTAGTTCTTGCGCGCGAACGCTAAACCCATGAAACTCGAATCTTTACAACTGTAATTATTATACGATCCATCCTATTCTGCCTCCGGACTACATTTAATTATATAATATATATATATATACATATATATATATATATATATATATATATATATATATATATATATTATTGATAATCTTTGTTACTCTAACTTCTCATGTGATCAATATCGATTGCTACATATTATATCACACCTTAATGTTACCCTTTAATACACATCAACAGTTATAAGCGGCTAATGAGAAACCACGAAGTATAATGAATTCATAGTATTCTGAGTCTAATGTTACTCTGGCTCTACTCAAACCCGTAAAGAAAACTAATTACACAAAAATAGAATGATGGAAACAGCACTTTTTAAAAAGTCTGTTTGCTTTTAAAAATAGATGACAACTTAATGCTGCTTTATTTCTGTGGTGATAAACTTTTCAGTTGTGACAAGCCTTCGCAACGTTTATATTCAACATACTCCAGGTCCTAAAATAAAGTAAAATGAGAGATTATGAGCAATTTAAGACAAAATCCCTGACAAGTTATACAGATAGCTGCATTTTCTATTGTATCACGTCACCACAAATGATTTGATTCACAGAAAAATAGTGTGAAGTGTTTAAACAGTCTATTTTTTCGGTCCTTCAGGAAGAAGGTAAAAGTAGATATTCAGGTAACTAAGTTCGATCAAGTGACAAACTATCTAGACTACCTATCAGCCCAAATGAAAAAAGGTTTACAAAAAGTACTAGTCTCGGTAGATGAATGTATTCATGAAGTTTATTAGTATACTGATATTCAGCCTTACGTATGGAACCAATGATAGTCTAGCTAGGTTAGTAAATGCTGATCCATGGGAACTCGATAAAAACACATTAGAAAGATCTCTATGACCTAATCCTATCTACTCATTGTCATCTTTCACTAAAACCTGCGAACCCTCAATTTTCTACTGTATATAACTACATTTCTTTTCTGCTGATCTTCAATACCCCTAGTTTCGTCGAATTTGTACAGTAGTCAAAATGCTGAAAAGACATGTCAAATTGTTATGGGTTCTTAGTCAGATCAGTTCATCCCCACAAGAGATTTTGCACTACGTTTCTTATTGAATAGTAGTTGTGTAAAATATACCTAAAACATAACCTCACCTTGGAAAACACCTGATTATGTCTGACCTCTTCATTTTGTTTCTCCAAGTTCGATTTTTCTGCTTCCATAGCTTTTATTAATTCTGATTTATTTAGGATATCCTTATACAATTCCTCATTTTCTTTACATATCTTATTAACATGTTCAACGACCAGTTTGTTTGAAATCTGTTGTAATAAAAAGAGATCAAACAGGATAACTAGAAAGCAATTCAATTGGAAAAACTTAACTGAATTCCAGATCCAATAATAATTCATCATCCATGAGCAAATTGCTTTAGAATCCTCCAACATAAGTTAGAACATGAAACCATAATCAGTAGGATCAATATAGTGGAAATCCAAATGTGATGTCCTTTGATAACGATAGATATTGATCAGTGGTTACGTCTATTACTATCATATCTTTCCGGTGCTTAACTGACCCATCGAGGTTTCCCTGGCCGAAGTCGTATCCCATACTCGTCGCCACTGTCATCTCTGACACTTCTGTGTTAGCGGACATGATTAAATGGGTTATGCCTTATACTGAGACCCCAAATCCAACAATACATGATGAAAACTGCAGAATGGTGATGAAGATTTATTTGACTTCCAAAATAAATCAAAATGAAATGTGCATACACTACACTTCATATGCCGTTGTAGAGTCAGGTTACCAACCAGAGTTTTATACTTTGAATGAGTAATATTTAGCATCAATCAATAGTCTACTAAGTGGACACACTTAAAATATCATGCCGATCGATTTCTACGTTGACTTAATGAAGCTCTTTTGATCTTGTCATATTAATCAATCTGTATTGAGGTGGCATGACAGTAGGTTCACTGAAAGATTCATGGATTTTATAATTATTTTTATTCAGTTGAATGTGGATGGTTAAGGACTTACAACCAAAAAAAATAACCAGGAATACAGTAACGAGTTTATTTAATGCCTTGTGAAGAGAAATGGAGAACTCCGAAAGACATGATCGACATTCGCTGGGCAAACAGTATATGATGATTAAAACTGCAGTATATAATTTCAGAATGTACTTTTAAGTGAAGAGAGAAGTATCTGACAAGTAAGTGTATGGCATAATCACACTTAAACAATCTGCAATATCTGTCATGCTTCCGTAACATTTGGGGAAATATTTTTGATAAAAGGCGTTTACAATAGCTTATGTCTGTGGTAGATTCTGCAACTACTCCTTTGTTGATAAGTCTAAAAAACAAATTGGATGTTTCAACAGGTATTCTCTTATGATAAAACATATAGCTAAATCCCAACTAAATATTATTTGAGACAGAACCACTGGTCAAATACAGAAATATATATCAAAGAAATTAAAGTCGTTATTTTCTTACAACGCATTCAACCAAGTTAGTAAGACTTATCAAAGTACAAATGCCTAACTAACAATGACAACGAAAAAGGTGACGTAAACAATGATTTTTCACTCCTACTAGCTTATACTATTAATCGCTTCTCTCGTTGTTGAAATGGTGTAACAACTTCGGCTGAAATGTGCTTCACATATGTGAGTGATATCCGTTGTCATAACAGGAGGCAACTGCTCAAAAATTGAAGACACGGCAGTTGATAATATTCAAAGTAGAAAGAAGTGGAAACAAATTTTAAAGAGGACACCAGGGGTAGTTTGACTGGGAAAAAACTCGTAATATTATTCAAGATAATATACAGACGTTTCGATTTTCCTAGAAATTACGTTACATTGAAGTTAAATTCTTTGTAAATACTACTTTGTTTTAAAAAATATGACATATTAGCTTATTAAATGGTGAAATTACGGGTTTTGGAAACTTTAAAATCCTGCATACCACCTACTTCCCCATATTTTTACCGTCCATTCTTTTCCGAACTCTGAAGAAAACATTGTCCCATGGTCTTTAGAAAATGAAGGTTATTAGTAAAGTCTGTGGGGAACCTATAGATTCACTTGTAAACGTGGGTGTGAATAGATACCTGAAATGTTGCCAGTTTTATTAAACTTAGTAAAAATCATCCATTTTAGTTAAAAATTCACCATGTTTTTCTGCTTGGGTAATGATGACCAAGTATATCAGAAACCATAGATGTAAGACAGAATATAATTGCTACACAATGCCTTATCTAACACATGTCGCGCAATAAAAACTTCTAGAAATGGGAACTAATCAAAAACCTTAACAACTGGAGGGAGACTGACATTAATAACCGTTACAAAGACCGATTAGACTATAAACATGTTTTGTAATGCGAACAAAAATGTAGGTATCTTAAAATTATCTTATATTCGAAGCGTTATCAGTAAGCGTAACTGGTCACCCAAGAAGGGATGAACAGATGCGATCTCACTCTGCACACTATAACTTGGAACTCTTTAAAATACTTGCTATATTTAGCGATAAGATCGCTAAATGTTCCAGTCATCCTAATGACTAAGAATAAGCTCAACTACTCGCCATCAAAATAAATCAACCTTTATATGCTTCTCGAAAACATCAGAAATATTGCGACCAAGTGACTAGAATGGCTCCACTAAAGGCTACCAGATCTAGAAATGTTCTCTAAAATTAAGAAAAGGCAGCAAATACATCGACTAGTTTATGTCAGTTCATCAAAAAGTTATCGGAAGATGAATAGCAGGTAGACATATACCTTTTTACTTTTTTCAGTCACGTTATCCAAGATAATCTTAGCTTCTTTTTCCAACTCCAAATGTTTTTGTTTAGATATCTCTTTAAACTGTTGAAGTTTTCCTGATTGGTAATTGCGGGTAGCTCTTATTTCTTTTTCTAAACGTTCAATTTCTGCTTCTTGTTTTTTACGAATTAACTAATCAGAAACAAAATTAAACTAAACTTGAACAAAATGTCTTTATGAACTATTTCTCTAGATAAGTTATATTCACATTAATAAACACCTATGAAAACCAGAATGCACGTTTTATAAATTTTGAGACCCAGCTGGATGTGTATGCATCTTATTGATCTTACGTAATCTGTGCTTATAAGAACATAGTTTTCAAAACGGATAAAACATATTGGACTTTATACCGGGATGCTAAGGATAATTAGGAGTAACTAGATTAACTAAATATGAACAGATATCAATGCCTAGTTATCAGACCGCAATTCATAAAGTTTGAAACCTTCTTAAAGTTAGCAGAATCAAACAAAATTAGAAATCCGTAGCTGTGGTAAAACGAAATTTTATTTAGAACGATTAAGAACAAATCTAGAATTTATTTCGCTTCCAGGTGTCTTATCCGACATGTAAGTTGGCTTCCGATATATTTAAATCTCCAGTTTTCCTGTATCGGTCCTGGTGATTAATACATCCAAGAATGATAGTTTATTGTTTGACGCCTGTTCTAACGTGAACCTTATGTCATCGAAAATGCTGTTGATCAGATTAAAAGTGTTTTCCAGCTCGTCCTTCTTGATGGTGACCAATATGCCGTCCACATAATGAATCCATATTTTTGGCTTGATCACTGGTAAGACCAAGGCTTCCAGTCTTTGCATCACTGCTTATTCAATAAGTCCTAATATTATTGATCCTATTGGTGCTTCTTTCGTTTGTTTGTAGATTTTTTCGTTGAATTGAAAGTGTGTTGTTGAACATAAATCAATGACTTCTAGTAAACTTTGACAGTGAAGCCTCGTGTACTTTGGGAGATTTGTGTCGTTGTTGAAGAGCAGGGATAAAGTTTCCTTCGCTGAGATCGGTTCAATTGATGTGAACAAGACCGTCGAATCAAAGAATATCATCAGCTCGTCGTTGCTGATTTGAATGTTCTTAATCCTGTCCAGGAATTGTATAGGAGATTTAATAGAGTGATTGAATCAATCCGCTAGATGTTTCCATATTCGTGAAATTTCTCTCGACAAATTGTTTGTTGGGGCTCCTTGGAGTGCTACATTTGGACGAAGTTGGATGTCTGGTTTGTGTATTTTCGGCCTACTGTAGAATCTATGGTGTACTGGTCCACCGGATTTCATTCTCCATTTATCTTGAAATAGATCTTTCCTACTGTGACAAGATTGTTTAAAGTCCTTGAGATTTGGTCATCTCACCTTTTGATTGGATTGATGTTCAATGATTCATATACCCTTTTATATTCAATTAGTCCCTCAGCTTACCTAATACATCCTTCCTTGTCCATAATTCCTATAGAACATCATTTGTCCGGTAGAACTATGACATTAGGAATAAGCGTAGCACATAAACCAACAAAACCATTTTAATCAATCCTATGCAAAGCAAAGGACGATGTGAAAGATAAGAAAAACCGAACGTCATCTACAAAACAAACTGTTACAATTCCGTACAACACCACATCAAACCACAAGAACGCCGCCTTCATCTTCGCCCGCACGAACGTCAATTGGCAGTCAAATGTCATGACGTACCCATGTTTATATCAATGCATTGTGACAACTGTGGAGACACGCTCAACTGCAAAAATGTTGGGATATTGGATAGAAGGGCCCCCAAATGCCCTTGTATGGCCGATAGTGGGGTGGGCCCGTCCTCTCAAAATACTCTCACACGGCCACGCGTATACAGCCTCTGCCAGGGAAGTCCTACTCACTGCCTTCACGTGGCCGGGGTGTTGTTTACAAAAATGAGAGGACGAAAAGCGAATGTTCGGCGCCTTAACCGGATCCCAAACCAATGGTGTATATGGGCTCCAGCATCCTGCCGGAACAAATGGTGTATGAACCAATCGTTGGTCACCGGCTACCATGGGACTGCATCTCCTTACGATGCTCCACTGCCTTGTGGGTTAGACCTTCAGGTCAAAGACCCGGGGTGTGACCCCCTAAGAAAACCACCTGCTTTGGTCTGGGCACCCGGGTAGTATAACAGCCCACACACGCACGCACAAATATGGTGTGGCGCATATATATTTGGTGCCCTCTTGTACCAATATTTATGTGTTGAAATAATAATAATTGGATAGAAGGAATTCTAAAAACACTATGGGATTATTAGAAGCTTGGCACTCAGGTCAATCACCTCGAAATTGATCCAATCTATCAACCAATAATAAAAATCATGGACAAATATAGGACGAAGAATCAAGTCAAAGGGAGATACAGTCAATATAATGAGGAAGACAATGATAGGTTAGAGGTCAACAATAGCTAATCAAGATCGGGGTCGACAGAACAAGCTATGAATCATATATGGAGGAATTCGAACATATCACTTCAACCTGACGTTTATGCTAATGATGTTGTTCAAAAGAACAATGAAAGCTCCACGACAAAACCATCCGGCTCAGAGAATACAACTCCACTAGAACTGTCCGGAATAAGGCGTCTGCAGGCCCAATACACCGCATCAGCCAATAAACTTCCTGAATGTCGATCAAAGTCAGGTCTGTAGGTGGACACACAATGATGAAATTACTTAGTTGTAGCCCATAAATGGCGCTGTTAAAACTAAGCGTAACGATAAAAATAGATCCAGTATTGTCTTGGTCTTCAACATCATTCATTACCTAACCTTAATCGTCCAAAATCAACCTCATGTATAACTGGATATTTTCTATGGATGATGTTCATATTACTACAAACGTTTTGATTCTCATCCAACTAATTCCGTCTTTTTTGAGTTAGTGTAATTTGTCATAAATATAGCTAACCTATATACGTGCAACGTTTTGTGTTGTCAATAATTATAGCTATATTTCAGCTATTATGAATCTACAAATTATTTTATTAGCATACAAAACCATTGGTACCAACGGTAAGATCTGAAAGCTTACTTGAATATCTGCTGTTGATACTAATTCTTCTTTGACATGTTTCAGGAGTTTTTTCTCCTGTAGTAAAACATCCTGCAATTCTACGGTACAGTATAACGAAAGCATCAGACGCACCAGACTTTTTTCTAGCATACATAGTCAACATTTCATCTCTATCTCTCTCTAATTCATTCACAGTAAACAAATAATAATCTTCTAACGTTATTGTATTTTTCAAACGTTTCGACTGCTTTTTCTCCAAATACGAGTTATATTCATTCTATTTTTGATAAAAGTATAATAAAAATTTCTGAAATAAACACTACATTCTTAACTTCTTGTTCTTGGGTAGAATGCTCAGTAAGTATTAATTCACTTTGTCTAACAGCCAAAAATTTTCTAAACGCCCGAACTTACATGTCTAATATTTCTTCGGAAATTGCTTCAATCTCATTACTTAGGTTAGCGTATCTAGATTTACAGCATTAGAGTAAGTAAAGCATTACTCTTCTCGCAAGAGTTCTCCTTTATCTACGAAAATGTCATCTTCGAGTGAAGACGTTGTATCATCTGTCATTGTGAGCAGACAAAAAGAAACGTAGTATTATCCCTTTCTTTTTCATGTCAACTAACTTGACACACGTGGAACTGAGGACATTTTCAAGAACTTCGAGAAAAATTCTGAAACGAAAAGCAATTTGAAGACATAAACAGGATACCTATAAAGTGTTCAAGTATTTACGGGGTTTATGGGTTATAATCAATAAACATATAACCTATGTTACATATGTATACAAACTATATATTCAGTTATAACTGAAAATATAGTTTGTAGTTATAACTAGAAAATGAAATACGAAGTCAAAAACGATTTCATAAGGTGCCAACAGCAAATATAAAAAACTAATAATTTATTCGAAGCTTACTAAGTGTCTTTCAAGTACGGTTTTTATTACAACAAATAACATTTTGTGCTGTCTAGTATCCCCCTATCTAAGGAAAACTTTAGAAACTCTCAGATAAATTTTGAAGATTTTGTGCCGTTTTCCCGAATGTTCCTACTGATGCTTGCGCAAAATTTTCACAAAACGGACGAACTTTTCTGCAAAATAGGAAAATTGGCCACCGTTAATAGTTATGGGATCCGATATCAAATAGCCGTAAACTTACAGCAAAAAGCATTTTGATTTGTTTAAAAGAATTTTTGCCTTTAAATTAATTTTTCTAAAAGACATACGTCTACAGTTTGAGTAGTTCAGCAAAAATATCAACCGTAATAGAATTAGTTGTAAACCGCGGAAGCTTTCACCGTGGCAACTGCTCAATATTTAAGACCTCTCTGATGAGCATGTGAAAACGAAACTACTTATCGATGTGGAGCTCGTTGTATTGATCATCGTCCAGTGTGAATATCCTTGCCACTTGGCTGTGTTAACCGTGATGGATGTGATAATGAATTAGGGCTTAACCTTTCTTTTGTACGAACTCAAATGGTTAAAATGGTTTGGGATCGAATAGAAAGAGATTTAGCCCAACGGGCTTCCGTATTTAGTAGCAGTGGATCACCGATATCTCCGGGCACGAAACTAGGAATATTATCGGTAAAAAAGAAAAAGAACAGGGTTGGTGAGGTACTACCTTTAGTCCTCAAGAATATGTCAGGTTTTCTTTTAAAGGACTCCAAGGAATTCATTTAAGGGAAAACGTTACATATGAGCGTGAATGTTCTAGGTCAATGTGTTTGCATTGACCAATAGTTGATATACAACGGACGGTATATTGCTTCAATAGGAAGATTTGTATAATTTACAAAGCAAATCACAAAGGTGAGATGAAGTTTGGTAAATGTTTATAATATGGAAAGTTTCATTCTCGTAATTCATGTACATTTCGTAATGCTAAATGTTTTAAATGTGGTAAGATAGGACACATGCAGTCAGTAAGCAAAGCTACTGCCCATTTTGCTTCAAGTAGTACTAAATCTTGTAATTTAAATTTCAATAATTCGGATGTTTCTAGTGATCATTTATCTTTGTGTATTATTTCGAAAGGTAATGCTCATATTCAAAAGCGACTGTATACATCGCTTGGTTCATTTCATGACTTTATTGTGGACACAGGCAGTATAGAGTCCATTATTTCAGTCAAGAACTTGAAATCTTTAGATTCTAACGTTGTGGTACGACCCATTGAAGTATCAATACTGGGGATTACTGGACACAGACTGCCCATACGAAGATGTTGTGAATTGTTAGTAAGAGATGATAATTCTTCGTATATACCTTGTGACTTTTTAGTTAGTGAAAGTGGACTGTTAATACTGGGTTTAAAGAATTTGAAAAGGCTAAAGGTGGAGTTGTCTTTCCTAGCTTCTAAAGAAAATTCTGATACGTTACTTAAAGATGTGATAGCTAAGTGTGCCAAATGCAGTGGAGGTACGAAAATTTAGCCTATTGTAGCGGTAAATAAATCCCCAAAATAAATAGCTCTGTAAGTTTTCGACATTGGATGCTGACCATATATTTTAGTGGACTCATCTAACTGAAGGCGCTCGGTCAGGCATCCGCACCAGATCACGTGTGGTAACGCCGTGCTCAACATCAACCACAATTGCTAGCCAGATTAGGTCAGAGAATTCCGATATATTGGTCATCGCCAAATATACTCTTCCGATCTCCTCGACTCTGTCTTTTGATTTCTCTGGGCGGGAACGAAATATATTAGAAGGTGTTACTGGTAGAAGCGTTGTCAAACACTGAATACCTGTGACATCATCATTGGTGAAACCGACGTGATCTGGTACACCTAATTGCAACTGTGAGTCTGTTCCTTTTTGGGATTTTTATATATCATTGCCTTATTTTTTATTTTTTTTTAAACATTGTGATTTTTTTTCGTGTTTTTTTTCTTGGATATATATATATATTTTCCCCTCGTTCATTATCGTACTTCATATTTCATCATGACTGAACAGCTTAAGACTTTGTCCCCGCCTTCGTTTCAACTGATGCCTTTCTGGCCCGACAACATCGAAGCCTGGTTTTGCTACGCAGAAGCCGACTTCTCCGAGCACGGCGTGATTGACACACGTGCACAATTCCTCGCAGTAGTCAAGGCACTACCGCGCGAATTCAACAGGTACGTAACACCTAGTATGTTTACTAGCGATGTTTCCGATCCTTACGAAATCTTAAAACGCTCGATTCTTAAACGAGGAGATCTAACTGATCGACAAAGGTTAGATCAACTCTTCAATAACATCGACCTGCAACACGGTTCTGCGACAGACATGTTGCAACGGATGAGAGAGGTTATAGGCCCAAGAACTTTCGACGAAGGTCTATTCAAACAACTCTTCTTGTCAAAACTTCCCCAACAGGTGCAAGCAGTTCTGGTCTCGTTCCAGAACAATGCCTTAGACGAGCTAGCTGCGTCTGCCGACCGCATTTTAGAAATTACGAAACCTCCTACTACCGAGGTATTTTCAGTCAAAGAAAAACCTCAAACGACTCAGAATGATATAAACGACTTATGTCACACACTCACGCGTTATCTTAGTCTTCGTACCGACCGTAAGAGATCGTGCACTCCACGTAGAAGCATTTCTCGTAAGCGATCTGTCTCTAGACCACGAGAGACAGATAACCCCGACTGGTGCTGGTATCATAACCAGTATGGAAAGCTTTCCAGAAATTGCAGAAAACCCGGCAATTTTCCCAACACGAAACCGACTGATTCGAAAAGCAATTCGGGAAACTTCCAAGCCGGCACGCGTTAACGGCAACCGTATCCGGCAAACATAGCCGTCTGTTATACGTCACAGATGTGACAACGAGAGTTCGCTACCTCGTCGATACTGGCGCAGAAGTTAGCATTCTCCCAGCGAATCCGAACGATCGGCTTCAAGATTCGGCTCTAAACTTACAGGCGGCAAACGGAAAACCGATCGCTACGTATGGCAAAAGGTACGTTTACCTTAACGTGGGTTTATGCAAACCCATCCACTGGATTTTCGTTGTTGCAGATGTTTCTATGCCAATCATTGGTATGGACCTAGTACAACACCACAATCTGATCATCGACACGCGCAAACGGAGGCTAGTAGACGGAAACATTAATTTGTCCGTTTGCGTAACTTCTTTTACTGGTTGTAGAGTATCCCCAGTCACAGTTTAACATATGATAGACCCACTTTATCAGCCACTACTTGAAAAGTACCCTGGGATACAACAAACTCGACCGAAACTACCGTGTGTAACCAGCAATGTTACACATCAAATCACGACTACAGGACCACCAGTATTCTCTAAAGCACGACGACTAGCTCCTGAAAAGCTCAGGTTAGCGAAAAAAGAATTCGATCACATGATAGATTTAGGAATCACACGACCGTCAAATAGCCTGTAGTGTCAGTTATTATGCCAAGCCCATATACCTTATTCGAGCTTTCGGACATCCCATTCTATTCATTTTACTTGAGCCATACATTGACCTTGTTATTTATTCGCTTATCAATCTAGACTGTTTTTATATGAGCGTATATGTGTGTGCCCTTCTTATTCCATTAATCACATGTCTGTAGCTTTATTTTTGTCTGACTATAAATATTGAGTAACGCTTAATTAAAATGGAGTTGGCTTCCCAGCCATCCTCCCCGCGCGTCATTTCGCTTTGTTCTATCGCATTCACTTTACATACAAAATATATGTATTCAATGGCCATTCTCGTTAATTGACTTATTTAATTCGGTTATTGGCTAACGCGATTTAAGTCGACGATGATAAACGAGAATCAGCGATAGCAAACATTTATACACTCTAAATGGAGTCAGATCAATGGGCCACTAAAGTGGTAAGCCCGTCGACGACGAACGCAACGCAGCAAGCTACGTCGATGAAGAGATTTCTGCACTTGATACATTCGACGAACGCACTCAATGGGTCCAGCTCAATCTCTAATCCGACGCAATCAGCAAAGCCTGTGCATCATGGCATGGATATGCTCAAGTCGTATTATCTTATTGATACTTTGTCCTCATGTCAACCATTCTCATTGATCCATTTGTCGGATTGTTCCATTACGATTCAAATTATCATTGTATGCTTATTATTACATTATTGCCAATATCATGATCGGATGTGGAATTATTAATCTTGTTCGTGCTGTCATTAAATCATGACATTTTCGCAATCATATCACTCACTGAACAAATTATCATTTTATGAAAATTCCACTCCGCGTAATGACATCCAGAACTCATTGGAATATCTTTACTATTCAAAAACGTGAAATTTTCCTGCTTTAAGTGAGTTCGTTCCAATATTTTCATGTCATTTTGATCTAATATTACATTCATTCACTTAGTCGAGGTCCGCAATTTATGTTATCACAACATACATTTTTCATTTCGAAATCGCCTCCTATTATGTCTGTGGATGCTTCTGACTAGCTGATTAGTAACCATTACGCTCATTTTATCTATTCTTCCACGTGCGTAACTACATTCTGCATCACTTATCACTCAAAAACGCTATTCGAGTACTGCAATTACTATTCTATACCCATCGCACGGTATACCAGAACATAGAGTTTAGAGCTAGTCTCTCAAAGATACACTCTTGTTCGTTACATCCAACTCAGTCTCATACGTCGCCATCGCTAACCATATGTATTGGTATTTTTGTCATGCCTTGGTACGGTTTTGTAACAAGAGAGATCGAGCGCATCTCCCTCAAACCACACAAACCACTCTAGGCTTCATGACCAAAAAGGAATACGACTCTACGTACCTTATCTACTCAGTCACTATTATGTTCCTCTGGTCATTCTACTAATACATATTTAACGATAACTCAATGCATCTGTCATAACGCAGACGACAACGTTCACTGACTTCACATTTTATGATTATTATCAATTGCAGTACAGCAACGAATATCACCCGTCGATGCAGTTATTATTTCACGACTTAACTATTATCATCCTACGAACGGGAGTTACGCATTTAAATTCGAATTCACTTATCACTAGTCGATGCTATTCATTCTGCTGCGGCTCAACAGAACATATATTTAACGTATTTCACTATTTTGTCAGCATCACAGACTAATTTCTGTCATATTCTACTGTACTCATTTTGACGATTTATTTCCCTGTCATACCCACAAACAATTTATTACTATTTTCACGATAATTTGAATCACTCATACAAACGTGTTATTTTATCGTTTAGACAGTCATAGCATTAGTACATGTTAATTTTTGTACGCTCATTAACTTGCTTATATTCGCACGTTAACGTTTCCATTTTTGTCCGCGCCTTTTCTATATTCATGTATTCTTTTGCATAAGTATGACATTTTCATATAATACGCTCACCCCTCATGTGACA